GGGACACTGCCTGTCTACCCGGTGCAAAGTCTACTTTTCACAGTGGAGTCCTATTAAAAACCCAACTCACTGCCCTGCAGTCAATTCCCACTCAGAGGGACCCTATAGGACAGGGTGGAACTGCCCCTGTGGGTTTCTGAGACTGTAACCCGTTGTAGAAGTAGAAAGCCTCATCGTTTTCCCTCAAGGCAACTGGTGATCTCAAACTGCTGACCTTGTGGTGAGCACTCCCACAGGTATCCCCTAAGCCACTATTAGAAGACACGTTCTTTAACCTGTCACTAAATTGCTCCATCCGCCAAATGGGTCGGCCGTGGGACGTGGTCGGGCTGAACCACTTAGCCTACATAACCGCGGAGCACTGTGAGCAGCCAGGGCAGGAGAATCCCGGTGGGCGGGGGCTACCTGTCGTGGCAGTTACTCCCCATCCTTCTGCATGGCTGCCCAGTGACCTGACAACACTGTCACTAACAACTCAGTGACCGTGAGGGCGATGGACTCGTGGTGAGCCCGCGTGTGTCACTGCACGCCTGTGCTTCCATGCCTGCTTTCGGAAGGAGATCACCAGCCCTCTCTTCGGAAGCCTCTCTGGGTAGATTCAAACCACCAACCCTTGTTCATCAGTGGAGCGTGCACCACACATAGCCAAACTTCAGGCAGGAGTGTGACGTTTTCCTCAGGCCACCACAGCATGAATAATGTGCATACAGCGCTTAGTAAAAAATGGAACTGCATGAAGAGCCCCCATACCGAGAAGCCCTGTGAAGTCAGCAGTTTGAATCCACCGGCCGCTCATTCCATTAGAGAAAGATGTAGCAGTTTGCCTCCCAAAGATTTTCCACCTTGGAAATGCCATGGGGAGGTCCCCTGAGTCCGAATGGACTGACAGCCATGGGCTTGCTTTGTGGTTGGGGCTTCTGGTGGCTCTCAAATGGAATTCTCTTCCGTCCTCCTAGGGTGAAGGGACCCAGAGTTCATCTTGTGCAGCAAGAGAAGCCTTTGTTGTTTGGAAGGGCAGGTCGTAGCAATTACTCACATCCCACAACCCCGGTAGCAAAGCTCTTGCAAATGCAAGTCTCTATCAACAACAGCCAACAGAAACCACGCGCAGGGTGTGCCCAGTGGCTACTCCTGCACCTGTGTATGTTTCTGTAGGCCAGGGATGACAACACTGGCCCTTAGATACCCAAATGACAACCATGCCAGGAGAACATTTGTTCCCATTCCGGTTCAAATTTATAGACATCGTTTTAAAGTACTATAACTACAGGTTACAGCACAGAATGAATGAATGAGTACTCTAATTGGCATGGCATCCTGGAATATTTAAAGAAAATTGTGCAATAGAAAAGAAGTGAAAACACGTGGTAAACACTTGATGACCTGTCCCATGAAGGGAGCTGGCCAGCTTAAGAGCCTGGACCTCGGTCTTTCCTTGTTTCTACTGGCTCTCCTTCTGCTGTGTGTGGAATCTAAACCCAGAGAGAGCTTGAGAAAGCCACACGGAGGGGGAGGGAGAGGCCCGGCCTGGAGGAGAAGGAGAGACTTTTCTAGCTGATGGCCATGACCTACGTCTTGTATGTTTTTCAAAACTCACTTAGGGATTATTTTAATTTTTTTAAAAAATGACGTCACAAGTGCAGAAATTTAAAACATGAACATATGAGTCCTTCAAGGCTACACTTGAAGGAAAGTCCCACTTTAGTAACCTCTTGATGAGATCAAATTAAATGGTGGAATCCTAAGCAGATGAATCTGAACTCCCCAAGAATTCACTAGATAATTGCTGGTGGGAGGAAGTGACCCGGAGGCCAGTGAGTGGCTAGAAGGAGACACTTGGGGATCAGGCTTTGACGGGGACGAAGCGCCCACAAAATTACAGGGTCAACGCCTCCAGCATCTCTGCTCCTCCCAGTGGTGGTGGCTCGATGACACACCCACCCTTTCTAGAACTCGCTTCAGTCCTAAGGGGTCTTGATTTTTCATGCCACCAGTGCCCACTGCCAATCTCTTCCCAGCCAGCGGCACCCGATGAGCACAGACTCTCGACTTGGAAGCCCCAGGCGGGATACCACAGGGCTCCATCTCAAACATTTTACTCACCACGTGGATGAGGGTGCAGAGGGGAGTGTTCAGACGTCATCCATGTGAGGGAGCCCTCCCAGCTGAAGGTCCAGATTCAACCCACATTGACATCACCTGAACAGAGATGACGACTGTGTCCAAGCCAAAAAGATTAAATGAAGATAAGTTTTTAAATAAATTATTGTTAGATTAATAAGGTCACTTGCTCAATACAGGGTGGGGTAGAATAACCTAATTTGAGGGAAGTTTAAAGAATAAAGCTCTATGGCTTTAACTGATCATAAGTGCAGTGATGAGCCAGCAGTGTGATTCAGCTGGTTAAAAGTTGAACACGTTGACAGGTTTAACAGAAAAGGCTGCCACTGGATCACTTCTGACTCATAGCCACCCAGTAGGGTTGACAAGGGCATAAATCTTTACAGGAGCAGATAGCCACCACCGTTTCTACCACAAGCGGATGGGTGGGTTTGAACCGCTGATCTTACAGTTAGCAGACTGCTGCTTACCCTAAAGTCCTTCTAGGACTCCTCTCCTGGCAGAAAAGTGCACTAAATTCAACACTGAGTGTCTCCTGCAGTTCTGGGTGGTCCATTTGAAGAGTGGCACTGATACCCTACTGTGTGCACACGAGAGATGGGAATGCTAGACTACCTACTGGGAACATTTTAGAGAATGCCGTTGTCTGGCAGCATGGATGCTTTTGGATTAAGGTATTGGCAAAGAACATTGAGTAGATCCCGGACTCCCATAAGAATGAGCAAATCCATGTTGGAAAAAGTGAAGGCCAAGGAGCCTTCGCAGTGAGCAAGATGAGAGCTTGTCTCACACACGGTGGACTCGTTGTCAGGAGGGACCAGTCCCGGGAGAAGCGCAGCATGTTCAGTGAAGTGGAGAGGCAGCAAAAACAGAGGAAGATCTTCACCAAGATGGATGAATCCAGGGGCAGTAAAAATGGGCCCAAACACAAGAACAAGTGTGAGGATGGCCCCGGACCAGGCAGTGCTTGGTTCTGTTCTACCGAGTCAGAACCAATGAAAAGCACCTAATCACCACCTGAAAGGGAGTAGAGAGGTGCAAATGGGGTGACTAACTGCCCTGGGTTGTCCCCGAGTGAGGAGCTTCCTAGGAGACAAGACTTTTGGAATCAAAACTGGGACGAGTTGCTTCCCCTAGTTAGAGATGACGCAGAAGGTGCTGGGACACGCCAGCCCTGATTCCAAATGGACTGGACTCCAAATGCACGGGAACAGGCCAGGCCCATCACAGAGAGCATCCAGAGGCCGTGCTGGACTCAAGGAAGGGAGAAGGTGCAGCCCCTGGCAGGTGTCTGAGACGGGAAGCTCATGGAGACCCTTTAAACCACACACACACAGTTCATCATCATTAAGACCTGAACTTAGAATTGCTTGCTTTTAAGGGGATCCATACTGGCTTAACGACAACAGCATCTCAGTACGTTTGGAAAAGGCTGAACAGATGTGTGTGAGACGTCTGATTTTCCCTTCAGTAGAGCAGACTGGGTGCCCAGTTAGCTCCCTTACAAATACTCTAACATCCTCCCTGCCCTGTCCCAGCCCCCATCCCAGAGGGCTTGTGGTCCTCAGCGGGAAGGTGAGACTGGGTGATGCCAGGATTCCTTTCAAACCCGAGACTCTGTGTTTTCCCGATAGTTTATACGTAATGTGATGTCGTTTCCCTCTGACACACTGTCACGGGAGTGGCAGGTGGTCTAGGCTCTGACATCAAAGCCAGCAAGGGGGCGATGATGAGAAAAGCAGATGAGTTCGCAGCTCCGATGGATGCAACTTCTAAAAGCAGGCCCCTGGGCAGTGCCCAGAGGGCTCTCATAGTCTGAGGAGCAAGAGGACACAGGGACATGCATCACAGGTGTGTCGCCTGCTAAAGTAGTTGCTGCCTGCAGAATCCTGCTGCTGGGAAGACAGGTGGCAGCCCATGCATGAGGCACCACCTCCAGCCCTGGGGGAGCAGCTGCTTTCCTGGGAGAGGGCAGAGGCTGAAGGGGACAGGGCCCTGTAACGGGTTACGGGTTACGGGTTACGGGGAAACAGGGCTGTGAACTTAAAAGGCCAAGGGTTCAGGACCCATGTTGGAGGCTTCAGGAGTTGAGAACTCGGAAAGCCAACGCTCCCACTCACTGGCTACGTGACTTGAATGCTATAAACCCTATGTTACTACAACCCTCTAACCCTTAGTCTCCTCACCTGTAAACTGTCCCGCCGCATGCCTGGCCTACAGTAAGTGCTTGGGAAATGTCTAGCAACACGGCTGCTACTCCGCTTACTCTTTATCCGCGTGGCCAGGAACATCCCATGTGGTCCCCAATCCCTTATCTTCTGTGCCAAACGCCACACTGCCTGAGACAGAGCCCTTGCAGATCACAGAAAACCTGACCCAGCAGAGGCTTTGCTTAGGAAGCCTTCTGTTTGACCAGCTGCTGGTGGTCAGGACAGAGGCTGGCTCCTCTCCCTCTTCCTGTCCCGACATCCCTCTGTGCCTCACAGTTGTGTGGCTGCCGCACCTCCACCCTTTGCATCTGTGTTCCAGGAAAGAGAAAAGGGGAGGGGAAGGTGAGGAGGGCCTGTCAGCGGAGCCTAACTTGTTTTACAAACCTGTCCCAGAGGTCCCACACAGACACTTCTTGCCTGCACTGACTAGCCACCTTAGCATTTAGCTGGACCTGTCACCGCCCTGGACCATGCTGGGCTTGGCTGAGTCTGGAAGGAAAGGGGAATGAATGGATGTCAGGTCGGCAGTGAGCACCCAGCCTCGGCTATGTACCCATCACTCTCCCAGCTCGCTCCTTAGGGCAGGGGCTATGCTCAAAAACAGCCCGTGTCCAGAGGCCATGGGTGATCAGTAATGTCAGCGACTTGGAGGGAGGGAAAGGGGGAGGCCTATCAACCAGTTGCCATGGAGACAAGTTTGACTCATGGAGGCCCATGTGTGTCAGCGTGTACCCTGTGCTCTATAGGGCGCTCCGTGGCTGATTTTTTTGGATTTAGGTCACCAGGCCTTTCTTCCGAGATACCTCTGGGTGGACTCAACCTCCAACTTTGTGGTGAGCCGTGTGAGCAGTCTGCTACCTGTCTGAACCACCGAGGACTCCTTAGCTGTGAAGAAATGTTGAGAGAGAGATCGGTCCTCTCATTCACAATTCTGATTCTCCAGCCTCACATTCTTCCCGAACCTGTAATGTACCAGTGGATCAATGGATACCTGCACCTTTCCGCCACTCCCACATGGGCACCTAGAGACAGGAAGCACAGGCAGGGGGCTCCTCTCTGTAGCCATACCCTCCTAGCCAGTGGTTCTAGAAGTCCACTCCCCACACCTGCAGCATCAGCAACATCCGGGAACTTCAGTGTGTAAATTCTCCGGCCCATCCTAGACCCACCAAGTCGGAATTTTGGGGAGTGGGGGTGAGGGTGGGGCCTGGCAATCTGTATTTTATCATACCCTCCCAGGGTTCTGTTGGTTGCTCGAGTTTGAGAACCACTGTCGTAGAACGATGTCTAATATTCCAAAGCAAAACACCCACCGCCGTTAGAGCACTCCAAGCCATGGCGACCCTACAGGACAGAGTAGAACTGCCCCTGTGGGTTTCCCAGACCGAGACTCTATGCAGGAGTAAAAGGCCTCATTGTTCTCCCACAGACCAGCTGGTAGTTTCGAACTGCTGACCTTGTGGTTAGCACCCCAAGTAACCTGCTCTGCCACCAGAAAGCGTGAAGAAGGGTAAGCAGTGATAGCACTACTCCTATCACAAACGATTGAGTGAAGCCAGTAAACGTTCAATCCATTCCCTGACTTCTGTGTATCTAATGGTATAGAGCAGTGGCTCTCAACCTTCCTAATGCGGGACCCTTTAATACAGCTCCTCATGTTGTGGTGAACACACACCCCCAACCATAAACTTGTTTTCATTGCTACCTCATAACTTATTTCGCTACTGTTATAAATCGTGAAAGAGTCATTCAACCCCAAAGGGGTCTTGACCCAGAGGTTGAGAACTGCTGTTAAAGAGAGTGTAGATAGTGCATGCGATGAACTTTTAAAAAGAAAGAAAACCCTCTAGAGGCCTGCAATAAACTACTGAACACGTTTTTGTTGTTGTTTTATTCTAATTATATCTCTTTTTATCTGTTGGTTAAAAATAAAAATCTACTGCCAGACAGTTGCTGCTAACTCGTAGTGACCCTGAGGGGCAGGGTGGAACTGCGCTGTGAGTTCCCCAGGGAGCAGAAAGCCCTGCTTTCTTCCGGGGAGCCGCTGGTGGTTCCAAGCCGCCGACCGTGCAGTTAGCAGCCCAGCCAGTAAGCACTACTCCACCAGGCGCCTGCTGGTTTTCCATAGCATCCCAGAGTCCACTTTGGACAAGGGCGGGCCTCACCTTGTGGCAGGGATCTGGGCGGTCTCACACATGTCCAGCTCTCCTCCCCTGGGTGCATAATGGTATCATCCCCCTCCTAGAGAAGTTAGGCAAGGCCCATGCTGTGCTTGGGCCAATGGAAGGTGACACGTGTCCCTTGCGGACAGCTCCTTCAGGGGCCTGAGCACAGCCCCCTCTGCTCCCTGCCATCAGCAACCATGCAGATGGGGCTGCTGCCAGGAATCAAGACGGTAAGAAGAACACAGGTGGAGGCCCCAGCCAACCCACGAGGACTCCTCCTGGAGGGAAAGCGTGGGCCTTTTTAAGCCCTGAGGTTTAGAGATTGCTTGCTAACTCAGAAGATGAGGGCTGTGGGTGCAGTGGTTCTGCTGCAAACCAAAAGGTCTGTGGTTTGAATCCCCCAGTCATCCGGCGGGAGAAAGCTGGCAGAGCCTGCTTCAGTAAAGATGTATGGCTATGGGGTTATTCCGTTCTACACCGGACCACTCTCGATGGGAAGAGAGTACGTCGTTTGTAGGGTCGCTATGAGTCAGACTGGTCCCCACAGCGGCGGGTCTTGTTGTCACAGCAGAGCCGAGTCCAGCCGCACAGTGACAGCAGTTTGTGTACAATCTAAAATGAGTCATCATTTCAAACATGCAGCTGCTTTGCTTAATTCAGACACTAGGTCTAGCAATTGACCGATCACCAGTATTTTAAAAGCCTAAAGTATCTGGTAATGAGGCTGTGCATGAGGTTTGCATGCTGTTATGAGGGCATAGGCCTCTCTCTCATAGGCGGAGGAGATAGGCTACAAGATCCTCCTCAGGCTCTTTGAGCTGCCAGGTCGCCGCTGGAGGGACAAAGCTGCACTGCCGAACTAGCCGTTCTCATTCACCTGTCACCCAACATTTTGCACAGAAAAGACTGATGCCAGTTTGGGTGGTTGACCTGGGACTGAACCCCCTTTCTCCAGGTCTCAGACCAGAGCCCCTTGCACTAGCTGTACCACATGGGTGGGTCCTTTGTTTTTTTTTGGTTTTTTTTGTTTTGCTTTGCTTTTGTTTTATTTATTTATTTATTTAACATTTTATTAGGGGCTCATACAACTGTTATCCCAATCCATACACACATCAATTGTGTAAAGCGCA